ATTTGTAATACATTTTTAACACGTATAAGTTAGAAAATATTAAAAAAAAAAACATGATTTTTCTTAATTCAATATAAGAAAATCATTGAAAACAATATATTTTTTAGAATTTTTTATGAACAAAACTTGAAATCGGTATTGTTTGTTCTCATAACGGCCACAAAGTATAGAAATATTATTTTTCAAATTAATCTATAAAAATATTAATCTTTACCAAGAAATTATATGGATATATTACCAGTATCCGTCTATCCAATCTCTATTATTATAATAAAGCATTGTTTTTCTTTACAAAAATGTACGAAATTAATATATAATAAGACATATAAATTCATAAATAATATTAAAAGTGTTATAATTGATTAAAATAAATATAAAACTTTTAAAACTTGTATTTATCAATATAAACGAGTTGAGTTGTAAACATTTGTTAATTTTTTGTGATTATTAATTCCATGTGTAAAGTTTAGGTGACAGACAATAGTTATTTGTACTTTTATCCATTTAGGTTATAACTTCTAATTTTTTTTTTAAGAAAAAATTGATTGTTCTAATTTTAAATAAATTTTTTTATTTGTTATTAATTTTTTAAATATAATATACAAATATCATATTACAATTATACAATACTAAATATTTTCATTATTTAATATTTAAAATGTAAGAAACATAACTTGATTAAGAAATTAATAGGTAATCTTGAGATAAAATAATGAGTGGTTTCTAAAACAATTACATAGACTAAAAAGCCATGGGTTTAATGTATTTTTAAAAGGAAAATTGTAAAGATAATTAAGTAATAACAAAAGATATCATATAAAAATTTAATGTTTAAGAATGAATAAATTAAAAAAAAAAAAAAAAACCAACCATAAGGTATTTCACTGAAAATTCCAGCAGATATTTCATTGGTATGACTTTCATTGAAAACTTTATTGGCTATTCCAACAGAGATAAAGTTAAATTACATTAGGATATAACTGAATTAATTATTCTCATTACTATTATTTATTGTTGTGTATTTTTCACTGGAATTTTTCTCGGACAATATTTCAACCGTTGGAAAAACAACCATTAGAATTGTAAAAAATTCAATGGAAGTTTCATTGAAAAGCTAAATGTAGTCCAAAATAATTTCTTACAGTGGGCACTATACCATCAAAATAACATAATGCTTTTACAATTTATAATTTGTCATATTTCTCACATGTGATACATTTTTAATACATCAATACAGTCACGAAAAGTTAAAATAAATTAACAAAAAAACATAATTTTTCTTCAACATAATAAAATCATTGAAAATATTATATTTTTTAAAATTTTTATGAACAAAAAATTTAAGTTGTGGTATAGTTGACTCGACAATATAATTGATGAATTTGTAAATTATTAATATATAACTATAATAACACATACATTAGTTAAAGAAGTTATGAAAAAAGTTAGAGAAAAAATATGTTGCAAAAGAGAGAATAGAAGTTATCATCGAGATTAAAATGAATAAATAAAATTAAAAGGGTGAAATTGTAATTTCTAGATTTATCATATTTTCTTTAGTAATTTGTCATATTTCTCACCTGTAATACATTTTTAATACATCAATACAATCACGACAAGTTAAAATAAATTAACAAAAAAACATAATTTTCTTCAACATAATAAAATCATTGAAAATAATATATTTTTTTAAAATTTTTATGAACAAAAAATTTATGTTGTGGTATAGTTGACGACAATATAATTGATGAATTTGTCAGTTATTAATATATAACTATAATTCCATGTTCATTATTTAAAAGAGACATGAAAAATGTTAGAGAAAAAATATGTTGCAAAAGAGAGAATAGAAGCTATCATCAAGATTAAAAAAAAAATAAAAAGGTGAAATTGTAATTTCTAAATTTATCTTATTTTCTTTAGTTGTGATACTGTGTTTATACTATAACTTTAATAAAGTTATGAGCTGAATTGAATTATAAATGGTTGAGTCACAAATTAATTCATTATTTATCTTTCTTTCTTTTAATTTTACTATCTGAATATGGGGCATGATTAAAATTATGAAAAATGTTCCCATAATTTTTGTTAGATACATTATGCTATATGTTTTGGGAAGTAGCCATATGTCGACCGTATTAAAAAAAAATGGACCTGCCCATGATTCTAACAAAATTTTTTTGTTATATTTTTTATTGAAATAATTCAAATGAGAGGAATAACATTTAAATATTCGTTAGAATTGGTATTAATTTTTTAGTTAAATATTTCATTACTTTCTAATATTAAATTTTTGACTTTCGAAATACTTAATATTTTTTTATTTGTTATCTTTTTATATGTAATACATCACATCATTTCTTTCCAATGATGTTTGATTTGACAATTTATAGTACATCAAATAAAAATATTATAATTATTTATAACGATATAAAATAATATAAATATAATATATATATATATATATATATATAAAAATGTGATACTTTTAGGTCCATTTATATATATATAATGTATACATATATATATATATTTATATATATATATATATATTATATCAATACCAATTTAAAATAATAAATGGACCTAAAAGTATCTCATAAAATAGATTATAAATCTATGTTAAATAAATTTTATTAAGTATAAATTAACATAAGATAAAATGTGGACATTTTTCTTACATAGATTTAAAATATTAATACTACGAAAAAAGTAAAAACTAGATGTAAACTTACAATTAATGTCTATTTTAATTATGTGAATTAAAAAGAGAAATAAATGAGTAGTATGCTAAACTATTATTCAATACTTCTTCAAGGGAACACCATAATCGTTGTAACATATATTTTCAATGAATATGAAAATGAGTTAGTTACATTATGTTTTATCAAAAATTGAAAAAAAAATGTGAACTTTTTAATCTTATAAACAGTATAAAAGTACAATTTTATCAAATATATATCATTATAAATAAATAAATAAATAATATTAAATTGTATTTTATCTTATGTGATTATAGTTATAGTTAAATAAATAAGATACTTTGATAACAACATAATTATATAAGATGTGTAAACAAATTAAACAATACATATAAATATGCCCTAACTCTTTTAACAAATAAAATATTATTTGTGAATATAATAAGAAACAAATAAAACAATATTAAGGCAATGAAGAAAAAGAAGTCTGATTTTTTTTTTTTTATTTTAGAGAAATATGAATTTCAACATCTAGAAACAAAAGTCTTTTATAATTACTACATTTTTTATTACTGGCGTTTAAATTCTCATAAATGTTGATCATAAATTATCAATTTTGATTTTTTAAATAAATAAAAAAAATAAAAAACTTTGTAATACATAATATATATTTTAATAATGATTTTGTACTAAATTTCACAGATGGCGAAGAGTATTATAATATAATAGAATTTTGATTTTTCTCCTCTCTAATATTTTAACAAATGATATGTTTCTCAATATTATCTCATTGTTTTTTTTTTCATTGTTAAAGAATCAAGAAAAGATATTTATCATAAATTTTTGAAACACTATGATTGATGCAAAAATTTGGACAATAAAAGCGTCTGAAATCATTGGATCAAGCAAGTTGCTCAATAATTTGCAAACAACATATTATATAGTTCGTCTATTTTCAAAATAAATAAAATTGAAAAGGAAATATCGGAGCATGATAAAAATATTTTTGAATTTTTGAATGAAGTTATCATGTTTTGATAAAAATATCTACAATTTTATTGGGGTATTGTGCTCGAACATATGTGCAAGTACTCTAGAGTATATACTTTCATGTAATGTATGATGATTTCAAAAAATAATTTAGTCTTCATTAATGTGTGATGAGTTAAAAAAATAATTTAGCGTCTTGGGAGAAGTATATGTAACCAATATTTTGAAAGGTCAACTTTTATTTGGAAATAAAACTCATTCTCACCCCATGGGCATCGTCCATGGGGAAGGTGTCAATTTGTCTATATGGAGAGAGAATAATGTAGTAGTTTAAAAAAAAATATCAGCAATTTTAATGACATGGTTGATTATTTCACAGAGATATTCATTAATTGTTATTAACAATACTTTATAAAGATCATAATCATAGAATTTGACTATATGGTTGGACAAAATATTTTGCATTGTTTGAATAAAATAGATTTTTTGTCTAATGACTTAAGAAGAAATTGCCTATTGATGTATAAAACTCGAATGGGTATGAATGTTTTTTTATGAGAACGTCAAAACTAAAATGAAAGAAAATCACTCTTGAATCATCAAACATAAATAAAGAAAAAAAAAGAACTAATGCATTTATAATATACATTGTCTTTATTTAGTTATTTAGTGTCTTTTTTTAAAAAAAAAATTATGGAGTCATTTTTCATGTATTTTTGTCGGGGTTGTAATATGTTTTTTTTTTATATATATTAGTACATCGTTATGTTATATTTGGAGAAAAAAATACATTAGAAGTTCATTTGTTCTACATTTTATTTTGTTCCTGCAATGATATATTTAATAATTAATTAATTTATTTTACTAAACTTAATCGGTAAAAAAAAACATTCGCCACCACGTGCATCGATTTTCAACGAGCTTCCGTTTCAGTGAAGGAGGAAAAATAAATGCATATGAAAGAAAACCAGCGGACCTTGCAAAGATTTTCATTGCTCACACACCGCCACATACATGTAGAAAGCTTTGATGCAAGAACCATTGCAGAAGACATGGATCATGTTGATGTTGGAGCAGGAGTTGAAGAGTACTCTTTAGGTTATTGCAATTAATAACAAAATGAAATCAACATCTTCTATTTAATAAGGTTTGAAGCACAAGATTCTGGATACAAATTATACAAGCAACAAAATACATAGTAGTTTATTAACGAAAAAAAAGTGGTGGCGTTTATAGTACTTATCCTCATACACTCCAATCCGAAAGAGATAGAGAGATGAAAATGAGTTTGAAAAACAAATGCTAAAAATGAAGAGAAAAGCATTAAAGTTGAGGAATATTGAGCTTATTCCTAGTAGCCTGGGGGCTTGTAGGCAATGAAACTGATGACTTGGACTTGGCGGATATTGTTGAAGCCAATGATCCTTATGAAGCCGTCTGGGTGAGCCTTGATTGCCTCATTCAGCTCGTTCACGACCTGAATTGCATCTGTGCAACCGAACATGGGCAGCTTCCACATTGTCCAGTACCTCCCGTCATAGTACCCTGGAGACCTGTTGTTCTCACGGTATGGAAATCCGTGCTACACATATACATTTGCACACATGTATAATCAATAATTCTTTATTCATCAAATTACTTAAATAGGAGCATTCGGTGAAACCAGTGAATTCAGGTTGTGAAGGAGCTGAATTCACTATTCCACACAAAATAAATTCACATAATTTTAATTAACCATTACATCACATCTTTTATCTCCTACTTTTACATCAATTTAATTTTAATCATTTTATTTTAAATATTATTTTAATATACTCACCAACATCTAACCATCCAAACTTTTTCAAATTTAACCAATCCAAACAAAAAGAATCCAATCAAAACAAAAACTTTTTATATCCAAGCATGCTCGAAACAATCCTAACACTTAACTGAATGCAACTATATATATATATATATATATATATAATGGCAGCAACTTTTGATATAAATAAACTACTAGTAATGATGTTATAGGAAGGCACCTGCAGCTCGAATTCAAGGCAAGGAATGAGCTTTTCTTTGAGAAGGTACTCAATTTGCTTGATGAGTTGCTCCGTGGTGAGGGGAGGAAGGNTTTTTGAAACTAATCTTCATTACATTTTAGATCATTTATTTGTACTATATTACGTTTCAAAACAACTACCGTATCATTAATTAAATTAATTTATGAGACAAAAATTATTAATTACCTTCATGCACTTGACTCTGCCTCCGTTGCTAGTGATGCTGGTGATGTCGAAAGTCTTGGGAGTGCCAGGAAAAGCGCCGGTAGATCTGAAGCCGAGGAAGGGAGACAAGACGGCGGGCTGAGCCGAAGCCGAGCGGCGGCCGACGGTGGGGGCGGTGGTTGAGACCATTGAGGTAGCCATTTTTCTCCTTTCTTAAAAAAACTTGTAAAACAATTGCTCAATTATTCACTCGCACGCCGAGGCACACTACTCGATGTGGGAGACTCAACAGCAACTACCTTACCCTTTTATAATCACACCTCACCCCCGCTTCTTTACTGATTCCATCCAACGGTGCGGATTTGATATTCATCCGTGTTGGCGGTCCTGAGGCGTCCGATCGGCCCTGTCGTGTTTGTGACCACAAATAGATGATCTGGTGCCTTATCGCTTGCCACCCTACAACTGGGTGCCACGTGGCGCTAGCCTTATCTGATACGACGAGGGCATGGGCTAATCTGAGGTTGATGATGCAAAAGGTAGCACATCCTTTGGTGGGAGGATCAAGTGTGTCTGGTCTTTGCCTTTTGAGATATTTTTCTTTCTTATATTTGATTATAATAATTTTTTAGTTTTGTGTAAGTGACACTAGACGACAGCGTAAAATCTGTGAACCATAACTGAAAGGAAAGAAGAAAA